CGTCCCGGGGCTGCCCCGCTCGCGGTCCCGCCGCTCCTCGCTGGCCGCCTCGGTGACGTTCCAGCCGCCCTGGGGGACGTGACAGACCCGTTACATTGATCGTGTCCGTTTGCTTTCCCTTCACACCGTTTCCTGCGCTGTTTTTTTCATTTCCGTCATTCCTCCTGGACACCCGAGCGGTTTCGGGGCAATACAGGTCTGTCCGTTTCCGTTCGAGGGCCGATCGGCCCCTCTGGGTGCAGTTCAACTTGTGCAGCTCCGCAGCGGGGAGCGCGGTGCCTGCTGCCCGCAGCTCAGAGCCAGCGGGCAGGGCTCCGTGCCGCGCTCCTGGGGGAAAAACGGTGGCTTCTAGTCAGCTGTGCTGCGGTCGTTAGTCTTTACGTTCCTTTACGGAGGCTCCAGGGTCTGTATTCACGTTGGCATCCTGTGCTTGTGGCACTGATCGGCGAGGTGCAGCTGCAGGGAGTCTGGTTTGCAGGCTGTTTTCTCGAGTGGCAGCAATTCCCGAAGTCCAGCTCACTTGTAGGGCTGGGGCTGCGTGGAGAAGGGATTGTCAGCTGCCCGTGCACGGAGGCACAGGCACGTGTGGCTGCCTGCTCCTTCCCAGCCTCTTTGCTGTGCCGAGAAGCACGTTGCTGTATGGGTAGTGCCAGCTTTTGCCAAGTCTCTCCTAACTCTTCCTGTCTTGTGCAGATCTGAGGTCAGGTGCAGTTCTTGTTGTTCCAGGTAGCTGGAAGGCCCAGCCACACTCCCACTCCTACTTACACCAGATGTCACATTTGAATGGCTCCTCTTCTAGCCCAGGAGCCTGTGTGGAGACCTTTATGCCAGTCTGCTGGTGAGGGTGGTGCTTGCTTGTGGCTGAGCAACAGGTTTATTTTCTCCAAAATAGCTGTTAGTGTAAAACCTACAAGGAGGTGTCTTCACCTTGTTTATTTTTAAATGTTGTCACTGACTTACATCGTGGGCTAAAAGTGCACAGAAAGCTGACAACTGTTTTGTGTAACTTCAAGGAACTTAACTCTAGTAACAACTTGCCTGAGCAACTACTGAATTTTAACCTTCTTTGGAAAATGGAAGTCTGTGGTTAGTGGTTTTCCTTCTCTAAGAGCACTTTCCTTATGCAACCTTGTTGCATGTAAACCTTTGGTAGCAGGAAGAAAGTTTTGAGGTCTGACCAGCTATGTGACATTTTCCTTGCACCATCCTGTGCTCATCCAGATCCACGAGTCTTTAATACATCCACACAGCTGTTTGGATCTTGGATAGCATTCATCTGTGTGCCAAATGCTCTTTGTGCATGAATTTGCATCCTGTTCTTCCTAACTTGCATGCATCTAAACAACTAGCTCTCTCTGGGGCTTATGGCAGTTCTAGCATAATCTATTATAACTGAATTATAACTATTACAAGCATTTTCTGGTAGGCCAATAGGCCAGTAACATCAACCCCCCTCCTGAAATCTGATGGTAGTCTGGCGTTGGCTGTAGAGGAATATTCATTCAAGTGTGTAATTCCTGGAAGTCAAGTTGTTCTCTACTGAATAAAGTTTGCCTTTCCTTTCTTTCAGTTCTGGGAAATCCAGTTAATGATACAAAGGAGTGCAAACTTTACGTGCTGAGTCAGTGGCGTGGGGGAAATAGTAGCCAGGCTTCCTGGCCTCGCGTGGGTCTCTGTGGGAATTGTGACACTAGACCAATCATCCTTCCTAAAATCTCTGCCCTGAAGACTAGCATAGCTGTCACTGAGCTGTTCTCTGTGAAAAGCTGTATTGTTTTCTTCTGCAGAATGAGAAGGAGCAGATGGTGATGTTATGTCTGGAGGAAAAAGAAATTCTATGTAAGATGTCAGAGTTCAGTTTGGGAACTCCATTCTCGGGGGTTGCGGTCTGCCTGGGATTGCCTGAAGTCTCCTGTATAATTTAAGGTTGTTCTTTACCTGGGATGCAGCAATCTGTGTTTTGTCTGTAAAATGGTTGCTGTATGTCACTTTATTCCTGCATGCAGGTGAAGAGGTCTGGAGATGCCAGGGATGCGGGGACAGCATCGCTGCTGGTCAGCGCCTCTACAAGACGGTTAACGAAGCTTGGCACTTCTCCTGTTTCCGGTAGGTAAAACTTTAGCTTGTTAAACTTCCCCTGGGTTGTTCAGCTGACTT